GGCACCAGTTTGTGATCGCTTGTCGTCGGCGGCCACTGGACACCGATGGCCACAGACATCGGTCACGAAAATACTTTCAAAAAGGTAAACTCAAAAGTTTGCTTTTCATTAGTCAATACATACAATGGTTGTCATAAATAGTACCAAAACTACAAACAACTACTTCTCTAATAAATCCTATTATTTATAAGCAATAGTTTGCGCCCAACTATCGGTACCTTTATATACAGTGTTATATATATTACATAATATGAAAACAAAACAAGGTTGCAAATTACACTGGTGTAACATTACGTTAAGTATTGTTTCGCAAAACTATAATTAATAGTTAAAAGTATTAAAGTTAAGGATAAACTTAAGATGAATCGTGATACATCCTTACAGTATACATTTCAATATAATTTTGGCACAATTTCTAGACATTAATTATCGAAAATCTTAAAATAATAAAGATTTTGTGTTCATTTAAAATGTAAAATATTTCTTATATTTAACTTTAAAACATTTAATTTTACAACTTTAATGACTATACAGTGAATACACGTGTCGTTGTAACCAATGAGAGACAGTCAACTGCTGAGGAAATGTTTTTGATTGGTTTATTAGCTCTAAAATAGCGGCTGATTTGATATTACGTGGTTAAATTATACTGTAAGTTAAGCAATAAGTTTTAACCATTATTTAAGCTATTATTAGGCAATATTAATAATAACTTATTGTTAACATAGACTTTAAGATAATTTCAATTAAAACACTTCAAATATTTATGCAAAGTTATATTACCTGTTAAGATGGTGTTTAATATTTTACAAATATTTTATAAAAATTACTAAAAAGTGATCAAATATTTACTTACTTACTTATTTAGTTATTTATACATTGTACAAATGATAATTAATAAGTTCTATATTATAGAACTTATTAATTATAGAATCTATAACTATTAATATCATGAATAATTATTAAATATTATTTTTAGTGTTTAAACATTATCTAAACTTTATATTATAAGTATACATGTATGTGTTTTAACATTTAAAATAAATTTAAATCTAACGTAAAGTTCTGTAACTAAAAATATTTCTTTGTGGAAAGTATTGCTGTTTTTGCAAATACTGTGTATTTTGATTGAAACATTTTTAACTTGATTGAACAATTTGAAATACGATGATACAAATTTTAACCAAATTATCACTATTTTGCATTTGATTTACAAAAATATAAATTAAAAATATGTGTTAAAAGTTTGACACAAAGAACTGTATGATAAATATACAGCACTTATATAACATTTTTATTAAAGATTTTTTAACCGGAAAAATATTTGCATAATTTTGTTGAAATGCTTTTCACACCAAATGTGTTAATAAATGTTTATTTAATAGTTTAATGGATTAGTGAATGGATTTGTATTTGTGAGACATCTTCACGACAAGAGTAACGATTGTATTGAAACTAACGGCAGATTAGATAAGACTTATCACAAAATGATGAACAATATGTGAAACACTAGTAAAACCTGTGATTCATTACAAAGCGTTGAATACTTTTTATTATTTGACAAAAGAGTTTGCAATCAATTTAGGCGTTGAATTGAATGCGAAAATAATGTTCAAAATATACTCCGGGTCTCCACTGGACAGCAGTTCCGTATGTATGAGACACACAATACCGGTGACGAGTGTCATCAGCTGCTCGTTGACCGTAATCGGTGTGCTGTTCGGCGCCTACCGGTGGTACCATTGGATGCCATTAGTGACGGCAGTGTTGGTGCTGGTGGTGGCCCTCCCGGCCTCCTATTACCTGTCCATCCAATTGCTGGTGGCCTTTGCGGTCGTCGATGGCCTGGACTTTGTGCTGAAGGTGTTTAACATCGGATCTCTCATCTACTATAAGGTGAAGATCAACGAAGACTGTTCTCCATTTGATTTGGCCGGCGATGAGGAGTCGTGTCCGGACACAAACTGGAGACTCCTTCTGCTAAACCTGACGAATGCTATCGTATTCTACATCTTCTCTGCGGTCATCGAAATTATTTTATTCACATTTGCCATATATTTGGTGTATTCTGTCCGCAAGTATCGGCCCTTTTATGCCAACAATGACTTCAATGCAAGCGATTCCTATGATTTGTGCAAACCATCCAAAGACGAGCCATAAATCGTATTCTTCGTGTGGAAACACATTTCAGCCATTCATTCAATCATTGGTTGGATTTTTAATTGTTTTAAATTCATATCTATTTTCTTAATCGTTAGGTATTTTAATATTTATTATTTATAAACGACTGTATTATATATTCAATACAATATCACTGATATATTCTGTGATTTTTAATATGTTTTTTAAAAATACTTTGATATAACTCTAAGTTTGTATTCATTATTATCTTATATTAAACAAATAATTTGACACAATTCCTATCGTCATGTGTTTCTATGATTTTATATTAGCCAACGATAAAAATATGGTAAAATGTGTTGTGTTTCTATGATTTCTATATTGAGTACCATTTGATATGCTGTTTAACTGATTATTTATTGGTAGTTAACGTAAGGTATGGTAAGACATGAAAATATTTTCACAACTATAAATATTATTCACAACAATTATAATTTTTATAATTAAAATCTTTTCTAAACAATATGTAATATTATTTATAATTAAAGCTAAAACATTAAAAATTTCTATAAAAATACTATTTAATTAAAATCTAATTAACTAATTAAATGAATAGAGAGAAGACATTTAGAAAGGACTTAATATTCTGGTCAATAACTTCTTATAGTCACCGCTCGTATCGTTTGCGATATCTTCGGTTAGTTTGTGACTAAATTTCTTCTTATAGACATCTTTAATGTCTTCCAAATCAATCTGTTTTATAGATTTTTTAAATTATATTCAATATTATAATCAAATTAATTGAAAACCACTTTACCTCAGATCTAGAAATCAAGATTCTTGCCATCGATTCGTCATCAGTTCCGATGCCATGAATACACGAATGAAGACGTATTGCATAATAATATGCAAAACTGTTAGCACTTAAGACTAAGTTTTAAAATTAGAAAAATTCAATTTTAATTAATATCCAGACTTTTTACCAGTTTAATCAATTAGTTTATATAAGTTATAACTTGTAATAATTTACGTAAGTTAATAATTTACAAGTTATCACGTTGTAGAGTACAGTACAATTAATTATATACTGGTATTTAACTATTTGAATGAAATGGGAATGCGTTACAAACCAATTGCATTGAAAACAGTGAACAGATCTCCACTGAATTCTTTACTGATCGCCGAATCCATTGAATGTCCCGATAGTCTGCTGTAGTGTTTGAAAATATCCTTCAACTGAACTAAACTATGGCTGCAAAGTATACGTAGGAACTCGTCCTCATCGGTGCCCATCATTTTGACGCCAGACTAACAATTGAATGGACTATTAAATACTCACATAACTATAAATTCAATTATTGATTACTTGAAACAGAATTTTGGCCTCTTTTACACTCAAATCAGAGTCAATACCATTTGTTTCGTTGCGGTTTGCGTTCACTAGAGATCGAAGTACTCTTTGGAAATCTCCAGAAAACTTATTGCAAATTAAATTTTCCAAATTTTCGTTATATTCTGAAAATAGATCTGTATTTTAGACACTAACTCTGTTACTAATATTCATTTGGGAATACTTTCGGTAAATTTCTTTTTAATTTCTTTTAAGTCCCAATTATGATAAGTAGTGAGAATATCGATAATACAATTCACATTCAGCTCTTTCTGTTATAAATATCAATAATCACTCTATACTGTGGTCTAAATTCAAATTATTATTTATTGTAATTGTTAACAAATATTTAAAACTATAATAACCTGAAGAGAATTGTTGAGACAATCGGCCAGATATTCATATTGAGAGACGAGTAGAGCGAGACAGCAGTCTTCAAAACTTCCGCCTAAGTCTTTCTTCAGGTCTTCTTCCAGATCTCTGCCATACATTGTCTTATAAGTGGATTTGATATCTTGTCGCTGAGAATTGGTGTGTGAAGTCAACTAAACAAATTTAATTTAATCACATTGTTTGATATTTACAAACAGCTAATTGGTTATGAGAATTACAAAAGTGGTGTAATCTTAATGGTTTATCGTAAAATTATATTAAGTAGTTTAATGTGAACAATAAAATTTTATTGACAGAATATTCTCACCACTTCTATAATAGCCCTCTCATCAGTTCCTGTGATAATGAAATATGAATGAGATATTTATGATAATTAGGTTCCGAGTGCTCACCGATTCCTTTGATAGCCTTTTGCAACTTTGCGGCCACTCTTTCCGGATTGAAACTTCCGGACGGACGCACTGTTGGCTTCATATTTGGTTTAATAAATCATGTCATAAAAAATACAAAACAAATATATTTTCTCTATTTTACATTCATATTCATTTGTCTATACTTACAGTATTTTCCATAGTATTTCAATTTAAAGCTCTCTAATTGTACGCTCACTTCACACTCACGTGTAGCGAGGATTTCAATAAACTCTAAACTAAAACATTAAATATAAGATTCAATTAAATAAATGAATGAAAATTCTGGATATTAAGAGTCGATTGAAAAGTCTATTAAGTTTATATAAATAGCATTTCTATGACAACCAATAAAATACTCTTCAATTACTGTCTCTGTCTTTCATATAATATTCTGACAAATTATTATTTCAAAAGTTAATAATTTTATCAAAACTAATATTTTATTATTTGTAAAATACAGATAATTTTGGTTTTGCTTTCTAATTATTTAATTTTAATAATTTGGATATTATTCTAACAATTGTCCTGTACTTTGAGAGAGAGAGAGAGACAGCAGTCTTCAAAACTTCCGCCTAAGTCTTTCTTCAGGTCTTCTTCCAGATCTCTGCCATACATTGTCTTATAAGTGGATTTGATATCTTGTCGCTGAGAATTGGTGTGTTCTTTTGAAATAATAATTTGTCAGAATATTATATGAAAGACAGAGACAGTAATTGAAGAGTATTTTATCGGTTGATATACTGTATCTATACGTGTATAGAGTGTAATGATATTGTATTTGCAGATATTTGCTGAATATTATTGACCATAATTTAAAATTTAAATGTATGCTAAAGAGAAATGCTTTTTATACATGAATAATATAAAAGTTGATATAAATATTGAAGTCAAATAAAATTTGGCACATATTTAGCAGAGCATTGACAACATTATTATCATAATATCTATTCAAACATTTGAATTCAACAGAACTGTGCATTTATGTGCAAAAATATATACAAAAAGTATTTTCAGTATTCCTGTAATATAGTCCTATATCTTATAAATCAAAATATGAATTAAAATCATATAATAAAACATTAAATTAGATTCAAATCAAAACGATATAAAAATATGAAGTTTTCAAATAGCGTTCATGTGTTACATCCTCTCGAGAATTACGAAAGATTTAATAAATATTTATAAAAAAATTAAAATCTTATGAAAGCATTAATGGGCGAGAATTAGATTATATTTATATGTTTCGTCATTTTGAATGTGTTTTCGTCAATCAAATGGAAAGAACGGCAATTCATTCAAACATTTATACTTATATTGACAATCTTTACAAGAATAAATTCAAATTACATAATCTACATAAAAAATCGATCCACCTTATTTTAATTTTAACAACGATGTCCATGTTTAGCAATAATCTTATATAAGTTACTGTATACTATATTGATCTGTACATCTGTAATTCATATGTACTTTACAGTACTTTGTAATTAAATGATATAAAATATATTTTATCAACATAAATTTAAGGTTAATACTTACAATATTGTTAGGCTTTAAAATAAAATTCTCGTAATGTAGACCAGAGGATACAGTACTTGGGATTTTGTTTTGAATGGTTAGTGTAAATGGAATACATTTCTATTCATTAAAACTCAAATTTTATTAAAAATAATAATAAATTTCAAAATACATTTAAATTTTCTAAATATCTTTTAAAATTTCATATTTGAATAAATATCTGTTTAATTAGTAAAAACTTAAATGTAGTTTCTGTTAATTAATTTACAACATAAAAAAGTTTACAAATTAAATCATTTTCATTATTGAAAGAGTAAAATATCTATTAATTAAACGTTATTTTCAATATAATTAATTAATTAACAATATATAGTTGTTGTATACTTTCTGTAAATAAATCCTTTCTCAAATATGAGTACATGTAATAACTTATATTTTATACTTTAATTTGTTTAAACAATCATTTGATTGTCGTTTTGATCCGAAACTTCATTATTTGTGGAAACAATCGTATTATCGTTACTGTTATTATCAGTTGCCATCGTTTCGGTATTATTACCATTATTTTGTGTCTCATTGTCCGACACAATAACAGTTTCGAGATTGTCGTCATTTTTTGCGTTTTCCAATTCATTTGCGTTTTGTTCAATGCTTTCGCCAGAAATCTCTTCAATTGTATCCAAATTTTCATTAAAATCTTTGTAAGAATTGTCTGATATTTCTTCGATTACGGGTTCAGAAGATTCCCGATCTTTGATCTCATTTATGTCCGACGTTTTCGTGTCATTTGTTTCCATCTCTTTATCACTTATAAGAGTTTCATCTTTTGATTCCTCGAATGAAATAATATTTGTGTCTGAATTTTGTTCGCATTTTTCATCATTTATTTGTTCATTATCTGCGATATTATTGTTTAATTGTTCCTCAGATTTATTATCAGAGATTTGATCGTTTTCTTCATTATTTTCATCAAAAAATTTTGATTCATTGAATTCCATAGAGTTTTCGATTTCTAATGAATAATAATTAAAATTTATATTAAATGTATTAAACGGAAATAATGAATAGTTATTACCATTCTTTGGATAGTCTTTAACAAAATGTTTCGTTTTTATCACAGAATCGTTGTCCGTCTCATTGTTTTCATTATTAATTTTCACATTAATTGAAATGTTTTCCTTATTCTTGGTATTTTGAAAGGCGGTCCCGTTCTTAATGTCCAAACTCTTAGAGTCAGTGCAACCCATTATAGTCGAGATTCTTTCACTGATTGATCATTAAAAATGACATCAATATTAATATTTAATGTAAACTCTTATGAAGTAAACAGAATTGTGTTTATAATATAAATATTTCATAACATTTAAAAGAAAATATAATTATGTGTAGCGAAAGAGAATCGACTGGTCGTCCATAGAAACCATTGCCGACACAAAACCC